CATTGTTTATAAACAATTAAAAATTATTATACTATTATACTATTATTATTTATAATAATATAATATATATAATAATATAATAATTATACTATTATTATTTATAATAATATAATAATTATACTATTATTATTTATAATAATATAATAATATAATATAATATGTAGAAATATTATATGTAGAATGCGGATCTTTGTGCAAAATACATGTTTTATGCATTGATTAAAAGAAGCAGAAGTTAAATAATAATAGTATAATTATTTTGCACAAAGATCCGCATTCTACATATAATATTTAACACTTTTGCAGCCATGTCACCCACGTGTGGGTGATAGAATTATTTCCACAAATTTGAAGATTAATTTGTACGCTAATCGGAACATACTCAATTGATATTTAAATTTAATTTTCTCGAAAACAAGTCTCCTACGCAATTTCGTTATTCTTGATTTTCGTTTTATTTCCAGCCGTAGAATCTACCTGGCCCAATTTGTACCATGAATTATAAAACATCCTACATTTTCTACCTCAGGTATCTACTACTAAAAATCAATATGGAAGACCAATACAAGCAAAACCAATTAACCCTGTACACTCTGATGTCCCGCCTCAAGGAACGCAACAAGCTGTTAATTATGGTATTTTCGAAACTAACATTTGTTTCATAAAATCTCAATCAACGCAATCTTTTATCAAACTTGATTTAGTACGATTATTACCAACGTTCTATCATTTTATATAATTTCTTTAAACAGTTCAATTAATTTATTTGCATTATCTTCAACACTTTGACTGCCGCTTCGTGAAACATGTGTATTGTTTACTGAACAAATTTATTGTTGAGACAGTTCAGAGTGAAATTTAATTTACAGTAACTTTATAATTTATCTCTCTCGTCTTTTTAGTTTTATCACTTACTTAGATTTTATTAAGATTCGCATAACCTTGTTAAAAAAGTGTTTGATGTTACACAACTTAACATTGCGATATTAATTTCATTGAATAAAATACTCTAATTTTGAGAAAATTCTTGAGATTATTGACATGACATGTGTTACTTACTATTGCTTACTATTAGGTCGCGTACCTCCGACACTTAATAAAATACAAGGAAAATGACACGAATACAAAGCAATGAATAAATGTTGAGATATATTCAAGTGGTCCCATTTCTCTGCGTCATACCTTAAACGAAAGCTGGAATTGTCTACTTTACGACAGGGCAGATTAGGCTGAAATTGCATAATAAGTTCGTTCGCGTCGGCGACTCCACGTTGTCATATTCTTTTACAAAAAACGCGAACATATTACACAACCTAATACAATAAATTCTCCCCAATTTTCCTCCACTTTGTACACAAAAATGGACAATTTGGAAAGAGAAGATACGATTATTCTCTTCTCGAGGCTCGTTTTTATACTCGCCCCTTTCCAAATTGTCCATTTTTGTTTACTGAAGAAAAAATTACAGAGAATTTACCGCGTTTCGCGGATGAATACGTTCGAGTCCTTGGTTTGCGATCCAAGAAAATTCCCCGAAATGAAAAGCATTAGGGTATCGATGAAAACAGTGAAAATGCGTTTTCCTGAAACAGCGTATGTACACGTGGATTCGAAGGGTTCGGAGGGTAGTTAGTCCCCAGCAAAATAGAACCGTTTGTGTACCAAAGCGAAGAGGCCGCCGGACCACCGGTTTGCCGACCACTGTGCACCATTGTTTCGCGGGTGGTCGTGTTTTAGAGCACTGGGAAAAGTGCACAAGAAACGGTGAAATTGCGGAACGGCTACTCACATCGGGGAACCAGGCGAGACTCTTCCGCCGCCGGGGAAACGGATTTCAGAGCCACCGGAAGGATCGCACGACTGGCAGAAGGATCGCGGTAGCTCCTGACTCGGCAGAGATCTCCTTCCGACAGGCACAACTCGGAAACGAGTTCACTTCTCATGCACGGTCGACGGTGCCGATTCTCGGACAATATTCCGAACACGTGATACTAGAACGACTGAGCGAGCGCAAGATACGAGCCGAACTTTATAAATGGTGGGAGAAAGTACAGGGGCACTATCGTTGATCGGGAGGTGCCCCACGCTGCCAAAAGCTTCGCTGAACCCGGACTTTTAATGCTAGGAACTTCAATCGCGCACTGTGCCGACGACTATTGCGAGGCTGCTTTAGAAAGGAACACGCTGTTTCCTTTCTTTTTTCCTCCTTGGCCCGACGCTTTCGATTTCTTGCGTCCCTTTATTCGTTGCACTCGATGCTCCAGGGAATTCCAAAAGTCGTGCGGCAGGGTAGGTTGCACGTGTACGAAACGCGGCCGCGTTAAGGACTTCTGTGAATTTCAACGGAAATGTTCTTAGGAATGTTCTTGTATCGCGTGAGAAACGTGCGAGCTTCGATAGATTATTTGACGACTTTTAGTTTCGACGTCTAACTTGCAATGGGGCAACGAAATGATCGAAGAGTCATTGCAGTACGAAATTAGCGAAATGCGCAAAGGCGCCTTCTTGTCGCGTGAGGACTGTGTATCTCGATTTCAAAGTGATACGATACATTTGTTGATAGAAATTTGACATCGACGAGTTATTGAATTTATTGTTAATTTCATAGTTGCTTGTAATTTTGTCTACTCTCTTTGCAGACGATGTTGATTTTTGTGATTAATTCGTGTCTTCTGTGTTATCCTTGTCATATCGTACACATTTCTTACTTTTGTCATAACTTTTCAACAAATTGGACTTTCTGTTATATATTTATATTATGTGTTATATATTTGTGCACACTGTATCAGTATGATAGCAATAATATGTAAAAATGGGAATATATAGTAGTAGTAATATATTAGTATATATACTATATACTATAATATACTATAATATATTAATATATGTTATATAATTATATATAATTATTATATAATATTAATATATAATATATTAATATATATTATAGTATATAGGAGTA